GATTTAAAAAAAGTATTAGGAAACGACATTAATTATTACTAGACCTAATATGAGTTAGATCCAGCTGCTATGCCACCCACGTTTGTTTTGTTTTTATTGTTGTTGTTGTTGTGGGGGGAGGTCCATAGTCCTAGGTATCTGGTCTTTCAGATTTCCTGTGCTGTGCATTCTAGGGGAACCCCCTTCTTGAGTTATTTGGATTCTCCTGATGTAGTTAGGTCTTAAGTTTTAGTTTCTTATTAATGAATGTAGTCTCCTTACAAGTTGTCTGAGAATGTGACACACACACACCTGCCCCGCCCCCCCTTATCCTCCCCCTCCCCCCCTCCTTGTCATGTCAGCTATTGTGGATGTGCTTGTAGTTCTGACTCTGTGAAAGGGGTTGCCTGAGGTCTCATTGGCATGCATCTTACTGTGGGGTCCCAGAGCCCATGGCAGGATGCGGGGATCCCAGTGCCGGCTAGTGAGGTAGTGCGACACTGGCTGATGTGGTCAGTTACCCAGGAGGTGTCACTGTGAATCCCTGCAGAGATCCTGGAACCTGTATCTGGGGAGGCAGGCATCCTGGGGTGTTGCTGAAGCAACGTGGGTTTGGCAGGAGAAGTGTGCACTCCGAGACTTGCTGAGAGGTCCAGGAGCCGAGGCACTATAGTTCAGGGTCTGCAGCTGAAGCACCGGGCTTGGTAGGAGGGTTGCGCGCTCTGGGGAGGCTGGGGTTTGCATGTCTTCAGAAAAGGTAGCAACTCTTTGGCTGGATTGGCTACAGGGTCTGGGATGGTGTCCAAGGCCAGTCTGGGTGGTGGCGAGACTGGGCTCCTAGTCCGAGCAGTTCTCCCCTGAAAATTGAGTGGTTTCAGTGCCAGAGCTAGGACTCTCCAGCAGTGCTTGCAGCGATAGCAGGGACTCCCCATCCAGGAGAACCTGGTTTGCCAGGCCCTGAGACTCCTGCAGGATCTAACTGTCCCTAACTCATTCTCCCTCCTCCTCTCTCTCTCCCTCCCTCCCTCCCTCTCTCTCTCTCTCTCTCTCTCTCTCTCTCTCTCTCTCTCACACACACACACACACACACACACACCCCTCTCAGTCCCACACTGCTGTCCTGCTGGCTGCCATCTTAAATCTCTTATTTTTATAGTGGCTACTTAGAGGTTAAAATTAATTTAAACCAAAACTGACCTTTTCTTGGTCGAAACCGGTTTGGCTAGATAGAGCGTCAGTCTGCGGACTGAAAGGTCCCAGGTTCGATTCCGGTCAAGGACATGTACATTGGTTGCAGGCACATCCCCAGTAGGGGGTGTGCAGGAGGCAGCTGGCCGATGATTCTCTCTCATAGATGTTTCTAGCTATCTATTCCTCTCCCTTCCTCTCTGTGAAAAATCAATAAAATATATATATATATTAAAAACTGATCTTTTCTTGATTAGAACCAGCTTAATTTCAATACTATTATAAAAACTTTGCTGATGTAAGGAGACTTGACTTGAGGTGGTAAACACAATACAATATACAAATGTTGTATTATAGAATTGTATAACTAAAACCCATATAATTTTATTAACCAGTGTTACCCTTAATAAATAACCAAGAAATAAACTTTGCTCCTATATGATGCCATTTTCTTCTCAAGCCTTTTTGCTGTTAGGGTCATATAAATTGGCTCTTTATATATTGTATGCCCATCATACCAGATTTATAATTATTGATGTATGCAGTTGTCTTTTAAGTCAGCAGAGAAAAAAGTTACAAAAAATCAATTTTACCATTTTATATTTACCTTTGTAGTTATCTTGACCTATAATCATCATTTTTAATGTTTATTTGAATTACTGTCTAGTGTCATTTTATTTTAGCCTGAAGGATTAAGTTCCTTTAATATTTCTTACACTCCTTTTTTAAAAAAAATGAATTGATTTTAGTGAGAGAGAAACATCAAATTTTTGTGTCACTTATTTACGCATTCATTGGTTGATTCTTGTATGTTCCCCAAAGGGGGATTGAACTAGCAACCTTGGCATATCGGGGCAATGCTCTAATCAACCCTACCTAGCCAGGGCCCTTTAATATTACTTATAGGGCAAGTCTGATAGCATGACATTCTCTATTGTTTTTTAGTCTAGGGGTATCTTAATTTCTTTATTTTGAATGAATATTGCTACCCTGTTTCCTCCAAAATAAGACACTGTCTTATATTAATTTTTTCTCCCAAAGTTGCGCTAGGTCTTATTTTCAGGAGATGTTTTATCTTTCCATGCGCTAGGTCTTATTTTCGGGGAAACAAGGTAGATATAGAATCTTGGTTGACTTTTTCTATCAGCACTTTGAATATGTCATCTCACTACATCTGGCTTTTGTGGGAAAAAAATCAGCTGTTAATCTGTCACATTGATCTATCTCTCTCCCGCCCAACCCCCACTCTAAAATTTCAGTGGGGGGAGGGGACACCTTTGAATGAGGATAGGGAGGGAAGAAGAAAAGGAGGGAGGGAGACCAGTGTTCTGACTGGCTTAAAGATAGTATTTATTAACTGTACCCACCCCCCATAGATGAGCCATATTTTCTTGTTTTCCCTGATGTCTGATAATTTTTGTTAACAATTGGCCACTTTAAATAATGTGACTATTGTAATCAAAATTTTCTCCTTCCCTTATGATTATTACTACTCTTTATTGTTGCTTTAGAGCTTGCTGTTTAGTTCCTTGAGCGAATTCTGTTGTAAAGTCAATATTTTTTTTTAGTTTATTTTGTATGATTTGGCATTAATTTCCTTAAATGTGATTGAGTCAATACCTTTCCTGTTGTTTGCTAATGGCTTTGTGTACTTGAAACATACTTCAACATTCATCTACACAATTAACAAACCAGCCTTACTATTCACTTGATCAGTGTTGAGAGTTTACAGCCTTGTCAGGTCTTTTCTGAATATATGCACTGTCCTACATTTCCACATGACCTAGTAACCCAGAACCTTCTCAGAACCTGTCAGACCCTCTAAGGACTTCTCACCCCCCATCTTTTCTGTTTAGCTTATTGTTTGTCCCCGCCTTCTTCTAAGCTGTGATGTTAAACAATTCCTTCTGACTATTTTAAGCAAACACCCCCAAGAGGAAGATTGTTTGCACTGGGTGAGCACTGATTTGATTCAAAGACCAGCTGTGGTTTTACAGGGAGTTGTCACCCAGGTCAAATAATGGCAGTTTCTGGGAATGAGGCTTTGGAAAACTTCCTTCACTGACTGCTAGGCTGATGGTTTTCACAATGATGGCAGCTTGTTTGTTTTCAAGTGTACTACTAAACTGGAGAAACGAGCATAGAAATAGAGCAAGTTTAAATGCCACAGTGTTCACTATACATTTAGCCATTTAAAAAAAAAAAATGCTCCTAGAGCATTTTACAACACTGATTATTTTTGAGAGTTCTTTGAAAGTTGATTTTGATAATTTGTGCCAGTTTCTCGTATACTTTTATGGTTGAGAGGAATTTTTGAAGCTTCTCAATCCATGATTCCTAATGAAGCCACTCAGAATGTAGAAGTTTAAAATGAAAGCCATGGGAAGTGATTGAAGGGCTTTACACAAAAGAGTAATTTTAACCAGATTTGATCCACAAGTCAAGGTAAGCGTTATTGGTGCCTTATAGATGAAGGATCTTGAGTCCTCAAGGATTTAGGTGATTTCCCCCCCCTGAAATAGCAATGTTTGTTTTAACAGACTAGAATAAGAAGCAGGTTTCCTGGTCTTCAGTGTTCTTTTTGTACTATGTTATTTTTAGTCCTTGGTGTAGTTAAACTTGAGTAATTCTAAGAAACAAAAGAACAAGGTTAGGCTGCTAGTCTGAACTGATAAACTATTCATATGTGCAAAACTACCAAGCAGTGGTTCATAATGTCAGTAATCTGTGCTATTTGTTTAAATAATTAATGCTTTGATTTTCAAGGGGCAAAAATGTAAGAGTGCCTTTCTTACATTTCATGGCAAGTTAATTATTTTGTTCCATTTTTTCTTAAACATTAGAAAAATAGGTAAAGTATACAAGTAAATAGCAACCTTGGAAGAATGTAGATTTATTATAATTTAGTATGTTACTTGATACCATCTACTGACCTAATCAAGATGATATAGGTATTCTGGGGTTTGGGGACATAGGGTCTGTGACACTGTGGGTTCTTGGCCTTGGAGAGGACAGAATTAACAATGAGCTAGCATAGAGTTTAAAGTGAAAGTAATTTTATTGGTAAAGCAATGAAATAAAGAATGGGCTGCTCCATTGATAGAGCAGTCCCCTTTATAGAAACTTGCTTTCTTGAGGTTCATTTAATTGAAGATAGGGTATTCACTAAGGGGAAAAAATATTCAGGATCTTCCCAGAAAAGGGATGGAGACTTTTCAGAGGGGCTCCAGTAGACATATTGTGTCCTTATATCTGCTTTCCGTTTCAAATAATGGAAGTATGATATGTGGTTTAGCATGCTGATGTATTACAATCCTATTTAATAAAAGAGTAATATGCAAATTGATCCTAACAGAGGAACCACTGGTCACTATGACGCACACTGACCCCCAGGGGGAAGACGCTCATGCAGGAGCTGCTCCCTGGTGGTCAGTGCATTCCCACAGGGGGGAGTGCCGCTGAACCAGAAGCCCTGCTCACAACTGGCAAATGCAGCCCTTGGGGAACGGGCCTAAGCTGGCAGGTGGACATCCCTCAAGGGCTCCTGGGCTGCAAGAATGTGCAGGCTGGTCTAAGGGACCAACCTTGTGCGCGCGTCCCTCTTTCTTTCTCCCCCCTTCCCCGCACAAGTTTTTATGAACCGGGCCCCTCTAGTGAGTGTATAATGAAGCTAAGGGTTACCCCTAGGTAAAATTGGCCCCCATGTTGGATGCAGCAGGTCTTCTGCAGGTTTTAAGTTGTAAATGCAGTAGGGAGTGGTCTTCCTTGTTGACAGTTCCTGTAGCTTAAGTGCAGAATTGACTAAAATTACCTAAACTTTAATTTTCATTTAGGTTACTTACAACAGGAAAACCTCACTTCTACCTGTCAGACTTTTATTTTGGAAAGTTCACATTTAAAAGAATATGCAGAACACTGTACAGATGAAGGTTTTATCCCAGCCTGTTTACTGGTAAGTGATTTTTTTTTTTAATTTTATCATCATTGACTAACACAAGATACTATATACATAATCATAAACTCAGCTCATCACCAAAATTAGCAGAAACTTGATAGTGTGTATTCATGTATAATTGGAAACACCCAAAGCATATCAGCTCTTCTTTTCACACATTTATGACAAAGTTTGCCTTTGAAAATCAGTTTCGAATTTATAACTTTATTTCTAATTAGATTCACTGAGGATTGTCTGGGGCTTACAGTGGAAAATCAGTTCTCTAACTGTAACTGGACAAACAATGGGTCCATGCTGCCTGTCACTACTCCAGCCAATTAAACAGAGACAGGGTTGAATCATATATGAGCATTTATTCCTATACTGCCAGCAGTATGGGAGAGCAGCAGGTTATCCACAAAAATCGGCTCCCCAGGCTACCATAAATCAGCTGTTATATCGGCATAGTATAAAGGAAAAGTAGGCAAAAGGGTATGTTAGAGATAGCAAAAGACTGAGGATCTTCAAAGGGTTTAGTGATATGCAAGGGCTGGGGTTATGGGGTAAATAGCCAAAGGGAGCACCAAAATTAATATGTAAGCAGGCTGGAGATTTGCATTGGCCTACAGGTATCCAAAAAGGGCTGGGGATCTTCAAAGGGCTGGCAATTCTGGTTTCTGTAACAAATCTTTGTTAATCTTTCTATGATAATGGGCAGCTCCAAATGGGGAGGGAGGCTGCATCACCAGGTCAGCAGCAGCCAGGGTAGAATGTGCCTTCTTTAATCAGAATAAACAGTCATGGTTAACAGAGCGTGATTAATATTTCTTACAGTATTAGCTGGTTCCCCAACATTCTATTTCTGCCCCCTTTCATAACTTAATTTATTCTGGAAAGTTGTTCGAGAAGTGATTTGTTCAAAAATGGAATCCTATTTTCTAATTTAAAATAATGTAAATTGATTAATTTGTTTCAGACCCCCAAATGATTCCCTGTTTTAACCTTTCTTGTATCCAGTATATGTCTAATAGCCTTAAATAAATCCCTTTCAACATTTATTCCATGAGTGCAGCATCTTCACTTTTTCACATATCACTGCCTCCAAAATGCTTTTGGTTTATCCAAATCAACAACAGTTTTTCTATCTCTTCTCTTAACTAGGATCATTGTTTCTTTCGTACTCTTAGCAACATTAACACCCTTGATGGCTTCTTTATGTTTTAAAACTGTGTTAATTGTCTATTTCTGCCAACAACTAAAGCAAAAAGAAAACAAATATTCACTGCACAATTTCCTCAGATGTAAGCAAGACAGGATTTAATTGTAAACTATTACTCGCCCATTCTCTCTTTTGTACCATAAGACACTTTTTGTCAAGCTGATGTATCATCTCAACCATTGTCAGGTTGAGAACTGAAGTTAAAATGGACACATTTTTTCCCTGCACAACTTGGTATAGAACTGAACTGTTCAAGATGGGAGACATTCGAAAGTCAAGGTTTGACTGTACTTGTTTCCTTCCTGTTATGGATTAAATATTTATGCCCCTTCAAAATTCATTATATTAAGACCCTTACCCCCAGTGTGGTGATATTTGGGTATAGGACCTTTGGGAAGTAATTAGGTTTAGATTGGATCATGAGGTTTGGACCCTTATACTGAGAATAGTATCTTTATAAGAAGTATACAGGGAGAGACTTTTAATGTGCACACACCAAGGAAAGGCTATGTGAGCACTCAGCAAGAAGGGAGATGTCTATAATACAAACCAGGAAGTTGGATCTCACCAGGAACCAAATTGCCCATCACCTTGTTCTTAGACTTTTCAGCTTCAAGAACAGTGAGAAGTAAATGTTATTTAAGCCACCTGGTCTATGGTATGGTATTTTATAACAGCCCAATCTTTTCTATTTTGTTGCTTACTTCAGACCAATATAAAACAGGTATTTTGATACCTTCTTGTCATCACTAGACCAACAGAGTGTCATTTGATATTGAATGGATATATTCTGGAACTACATTATTTAAAATGATATTTTGTTATTTTTTTATAAATATAGCTGCTTATATTCACTTCATTTGTCACAAATGACATGTTTATCTTTAGAGGAAATGTAAATCTGCAAACCTGCTAGAGCAGCTGTTGACAACCAGTGGTCCACAGAACACTTGAGGTCCAAAGGTTGGTGACCACTGTGCTAGAGTTTAGTAAGGTCACAGGATGCAAAATACACAAAAGTTCATTATAACCATATCTAGAGGCCTGGTGCACAATTTATGCACTGGTGGAGTCCCTCACCGTAGCCTGCAGGGATCAGGCGAAAACCGGCAGTCCAAAACCGCCTGCTGCTCCTGCCTGCTACTCTGCTCATCTTGTCCCCACTGCATCTGCCACAGCCACCACTTGGTAGGCTCACTGCACTCCGAAGTGGTTTCTGGGCTGCAATGGCTAGCCAGGAACCCTGCGTCTGGTGCCCATCCATCAGCTGAGCATTTGGTGTCAGCATCTTTGAGCTTATCTTGTTTGGGAGTCTGCATTTCTTGGACTTAATATGTCTATTTCTTTCATTGTGCTAGAGAAGTTTTCTGTCATTATTTTTTTCAAATAGGTTTTTAATTTCTTTTCTTTTGTCCTTCCAGCACCCTGTGGTGTCAGTGTTGTATTATTACACTTGAAATTGTCCCAGTGGCTCTTTACACCATATTTTTTTATTTTTCCTTTCTTTTTCTTTTTTAAAATATATTTTATTGCTTTTTTACAAAGAAGAAGTGAGAGGGATAGAGAGTTAGAAAATGAGAGAGAATCATTGATCAGCTTCCTCTTGCACATCCCCTACTGGGGATGTGCCTGCAACTATGCCCTTGACTGGAATCAAACCTGGGACCTTTCAGTCCGCAGGCTGACACTATCCACTGAGCCAAACCAGTTTTGGTTTTATTCTTTTTTCTTATTGCTATTTTGACTGAGTGTTTTTTGCTTCCTTATATTCATATATATATATATATATATATATATAATATTTTATTGATTTTTACAGAGAGGAAGAGAGGATAGAGAGTCAGAAACATCAGTGAGAGAGAAACATCGACCAGCTGCCTCCTGCACACCCCCCACTGGGGATGTGCCCGCAACCAAGGTATAATACATGCTCCTGACCGGAATCGAACCTGGGACCCTTCAATCCGCAGGCCAACGCTTTATCTACTGAGCCAAACCTGTTTCGGCTGCTTCCTTATATTCTAAATCATTGATTTGTTTCTCAGCTTCATGTACTGTATTATTGATTCCCTGTAAACTATTCTTCATTTCAGATGATGTTCCTTTATTTAACTGACTGGTTTTATTTATGGTTTCCATGTCTTTGTTTTATGCTGTTGAAGCTCCTTCTAAGTTCAGCTAATCTTTGCTCAAGCTCATTCGTCATCCTTATGACCAATATTTTGAACTCTGTATATAGTAAATTGCTTGTCTCCATTTCTTTCTTTCTTTATTTCTTCTTCTGGAGTTTTGTTATGTTCTTTTATTTGGGACATGTTTCTTTGTCTCCTCATTTTGTGTGTTTCTGTGTGTTTCTGTGTATTAGGTACAGTGCATGCCTACCAACTCTTTGTAAAGAGGCTTAATGTAGTAGATGTCCTGTAGGGTCCAGTGGCACAGCCTCCCCAGTCACCATGTTTGGCACTCCAGGTGTACCCACACACATACCTCATGTGGGCTCTATACATCCTTCTGATATAATTGAGCCTTGATTGCTATTGGCCCTTTCAATTGGAAGGATTTGCTCCGGGCCCATTTACTGCAATGACTGACTGCCAATCACCGGCCACCACAGAGAATCAGCTGTGCAGGGGCCCACCCGACACAGCAGGGTCTATGGTTGGTGCTCACTGAATCTGCTCCTTGAGTGTGTCAGTGTGGTGGTGTTTTGACGTGGCTTGAAGTTGTCCACCAGATGTGCTGCCTCTAGGGCCACCGGGAAGTGCAGGTCAAGATCAGCACACACCCCATGTTTTCCCCGTGCCTCCTGGCTTGAGCTACAAAGCAATCCATAGTTGCCTGCTACTTGTGCTGGGTTGGAGTTTCCCAGGAGAGGCCAAGCTGTGAACCAAGGCCAGCTGCTACTAGTGCAGGGCCTGGGACCACTTAGTGAGAGGTGTGTCGCAAAGGACACTCTGAGCTAGATGCTGCTTGTTGAGATATTTTAAGAAAGTCTGAAGCATGAGCCATTCATATGGAAAAGGCAGTGCAAACAGCTTGAGTGAGCCCTCATATTTGGTGAGGCAGGGTCTCAGAATCACCATGTCAGGTGAACAGTGTAATCCTGGTGAAGAAGACTCAATCCAGATATTTTATTAACTTTTATATAGCAAAATGTTTAATTGTGGGAAATATTGGTCATATTACATGGTTTTGGTAATGCTTAATCTTTTCCTTTTCAGTCCTTATTTGGAAAAAACTTGACAACAATTTTGAATGAATATGTAGCTATGAAAACAAAAGGTAAGTATTATCATTCAAGGATTTTTTTGGTTTGTTTTACACAGTACTTTTCTGTTTTAATTACAAATACTTTTTAAAGAATAGTAACACCTTATAAAAACCATAAGAAAACTTGTCTCATTAACAATGAGATAAATTTTACTGGGAAATGCATAATTAATAGTTTGTGTTTATATTGAGTGGTAAATAAATTACAAATCTGTATATTGTAATAAAAATACTTTTTTAAAAAACTATAGGATAAAACTCTACTCTGGGTATCTACCCTGGTGAATATGCTATGTGTTATAAAATTTCAAACTAATATTTTTATTTTAAATTTATAGTGTAAATCTGGACACAGGAACCAGTCATAAAATTATGGCTTTTATTGATCAGAATATAAAAGAATTTTTCCTAAATTAATGTTTTAGGCAGGAAGTTAAAATTATTTATTTTACTCTCTAATATTTATTATTTCTGTAGCTTACAACATTAATAAAAGTATTGGCAAAAAAAGGATAATTAGCATAAATTAACATCAAAAGAAAATAAAGTTAACATTTATTGATTATTGTCTGTATGCAGCATTGTGCCTAGATACTTTCTAACGTTTTATCTTAGTCCTTAAAATAACTCAGTGAGAGCTCAGCCTGCATGGCTCAGTGGTTGAGCATTGACTTTAAACTAGGAGAGTGGTCGGCAAACTCATTAGTCAACATAGCCAAATATCAACAGTATAACGATTGAAATTTCTTTTGAGAGCCAAATTTTTTAAACTTCTTCTAACGCCATTTCTTCATAATAGACTCGCCCAGGCCATGGTATTATATTTTGTGAAAGAGTCACATGTGGCTCTCTAGCCGCAGTTTACCGACCACGGAACTAGGAGGTTATGGTTTGATTACTAACCAGGGCACATGCCTGGGTTGCGAGCTCAACCCCCCACTGGGGGTGTTCAGGAGGCAACTGATCGATGATACTCTCATGATGTTTCTGTCTCTCTGAAATCAACAAAAAATATATATTTAAAAAGGAAAGAAATAATTCAGTAAGAGATATTATTTGTGTCAATCTCTTTTTAAGTATCAGAAAACTGAAGGTTAGGGAAGCCGATAACTTTTCCAGGATTACAAAACGAAATTGCAGAAAGTAATATATAACAGTTCTGGAAGTTCAGAGTCTGACTTTCTAATTCTTCAAGGTTTCTTGATCTTCCTGCCAAAGTTTTTCCCCCAAAGTTTTTTAACTATCATATAGGAATATTTAGAATGTAAATGACATCAGAAACTATGTGATTGTAATACAAGGATTTATATCCCACTTTATATTGAGTAGCTTCCTCTGGTTTGTGTTTTTATAAATATATGGGAAAGATTTTAAATGTCTATGAGTTTCCCATCATTGTGGCTTTAAAGCGTATCCTAAAAAAGATGAATTCTCAGGAATTTGCCTGTGATTCCAAGTACAGTAACTGGTTAAGACTATTTTTTTAAGGGTTGCTGAGCAATCATAGTGATTTGGGCATGACAATATTAGATGTTGAAAACTAATTTCTATACTCATAGGAATTTGCATAACCTTTACAATCATTTATTATAAATCAAATTATTTTAATTCACTTTCAAATGTCACATGATGTAAGGTAGAACAGAGATTTTAAAATAGTTTGTCCTTATCACATGATCTCACTTATAATATGGAATCAAGTTAACAAAATAAGCTGACGAATAAAATAGAACCAGAGGCATGGAAGCATGGAACAGACTGATACCTTTCAGAGGAAAGGGAGGAGGTAGGCCAGAAAAAGATTAACTTATATGCATATATGCATTGCCCAGGGACACAGACAATAAGTTGGTAAAGGCCTGGGGCAAAAGGAAGACATCTGTAATTGATAAAGATTAAAAAAAATAGTTGTCTTTAATTCAAAGAAGATATAAAATTAATAATGTAAAGTAAGCGTCAGAGATTTCACAAATGTCCATTTTCACTCATATTGCATCAGACATTCAGTGGCTTAAGGAAAAAGCCATCTCGTTATAGCTTCAGTTCCCAGTATAATGTCAACAGCTGAAAGAAAAGTTTAAGTTTTCTTTATTCATTTTCTCTGAATAGTCAAATTAAATTATATATTTTTTCCAACTGGGTTTTTTAAAGAAACTTTTTCTCTCATGATTTAGAAACATCAAATCACGTCCCAGCTATTATGTCATCTCTGTGGAAGAAGTTAGACCATACACTTTCTCAGATCAGGTAATGAAAAGCTTATCAGAAAGTATATAATTAAAATGGAATTTTTGGGCTGTTATGCAGATTCTTTGTCCGCCAGAGTCAAAGAATGAATCCACAAACAGAAACTGGTATAGCAAAGGTGGAGATTTATTGAAGAACAAGTACATGGAGAAAGGGAAAGAGTCCCACGGAGTTCTTTTTCCCAATAGTTTATAAGCCTACAGATCCTGGGGCCTTGATATCCCCTCTGATTGGTCACTATTCCCTTAGACTGGTTTTACTACAGTAGCTGCTGGACTCAAAGGTTGAACCTCACATGGGACATATGAAGTTTCCCCCCTCCTTCCTTATTATTTTCCTACTAGAGGCCTGTACATGAAATTCATCCCTCAGCCCAGCCTGCACCCTCTCCAATCTGGGACCCCTCAGGGATTGTCCAACTGCCAGTTTAGGCCCAATCCCTGGGATTGGCAGTCAGACATCTTTCTCACAATTCAGGACTGCTGACTCCCAACTGCTCTCATGTCTGCCAGCCTGATCACCCCTAAATCCTCCCTTGCCAGCCTGATTGACAACTGATTGGCCTGATTGCCCCCAACTGCCCTCCCCTGCTGGCCCAGTTGCTCCCAACTGCTCTCCCATGCAGGCCTGGTCCCCCTCAGCTATCCCCCTTCCCTGCAAGCCTGGTTGCCCCCAACTGCCCTCCCCTGCTGGTCATCTGTGGTAACCATCTTAGACCACATGGGGGCGGCCATCTTTTGCTAGGGCGTGAGGATCATTGCATATTACCTTTATATTATTTAGTATTCCCTTTGGGCTTTCTTCTCCTTCTGGGTGAAGGGCTTCCTTCCCTTTATTTTGTAAATATAGACCTTTTGTTGGACTTCCTTGAGGGGTCCCAGATTGGAGAGGGTACAGGTTAGGCTGAGGGACACACCCCAATGCATGAATTTTGTGCCCTGGGCCTCTAGTTTTATATATATATGGCTTTCTTAAATATATTGAGTTCCTAAAGTCAAATTGGACTCCTAATGGGATGTTAAGGCTTTCTAATGCATATTGCATTAGATAAAAACTTGATTAAAATTTTTGTGTTTACATGCCACTATTTTTTTTTTTTGCTAAAACAAATAAGATTTTACTCTCCTGCCCCACCCCCCAAAATGTGCTTGTCTTTTTTGTCTGAAAAAGATCTATTGCCTTTATTTTATTTTATTTTTTATCTATTGCCTTTTAACTCATAATTTTTTCAGTTCTGACTGCAGCTGAATTAAGAGAAATTTTGTAATGTCTAACTGCTTTGTTTTATTTGTTAGGAACATGCAAGGTTCCCCAGGGTTTGCTGCTAATCAGAGAGGTTGGTATTCAAATTTAAATAAAGATAATATTTTAAACTCTGTCAGGAAAACATTTTCATTAATACTACATGTGTGCTAAGTATATATTTTGTTTAAACTACTGCTTTTCTAAGTATAGTTATTCTCATAATAGGAAATAATATCTTCCTTTATTGTAAAAATATGCATTTTAAACACTATATTCCCTGTTTTTCTCATTAGTTCTTACATATATTTACATCTTTTTCTCATTTTATAAGTTTGTTTTCTAATTTTTGGAAGTATCATTAGTATGAATTATAATGGAAGAAATATACTTTTAGATTATAATTGTAATTTACTCATTTTACTTTCTTATGACATCTCATAAACTTATTTGATATTTTTAAGGGCTATTTTTCAATAGATCTCATATGTTAAATAGTAGTCTATGTGTCATGTAGATTTCTTAAAATGTCCACACTGATCTGACATTGAGTCAATTTTTTAAATTCTCCTGTGTTTCAGCCCGAACGAGAAGTGGAATTGCGGAAATCAAACGGCAAAGGAGGCTTGCATCTCAAGCAGCTCCCATTAGTTCAGAGATGCTGACTTTACCATACCTCTCAGGACAGTTTACTACTGCTCCTTTGACAGCTACACAAGTTATTCGGCCAATTAGCCAAACTTCAGTTCCTTTGAGGTCAAATTTTGTAGTGGTTAACCATTCACAATCTCAAGACATTGTGACTAGTAAGTTTAAATTTTACACTCATAAATTTTGTTGTTAATCAATTTGTGTAAATGAGATGATATATTATTATCTCTATACTCATAGTGTAAAATTAATAGCCTCAAAAAGGGCAAGAAAGTCTTCCATTAAACTTGCCATGAAATAGCATGTTGTTAAATCTATGAGATATTTAATCTTGGATTCTTCTGTCTGTTCTAAAAGGAATATACATTATATTTCTCCGGTGCCTTATATTTTTGTTTATCTTGGCCTGCCCTTCTGGAATGAGGAGTGTTTTCCAGTTCACCTCCATCTCTACATATTGAGAATCCTATATACTCCTGGTATATAAAGCTAGTGATAAACTTGGAAATTATCTGGGTTCTTCTCGCTTGTTGTATACTTGAAACTTTGAAACACATGGTATTAAGGGGCAAAAGCTAGTTAATAACAGAGTTGGGATTAGAATTGAGGTGCCAGCTTTCTGTTTCTAGACCAGTCTTCTTTCTCTTCTGTGCAGCTAAAATTCATTGTCATCCATTAAATTATCTCTCATTTCCATCTTTTCTCCAACCTCGTTTATACCTCTGGGTAAAAACACTTAGCATGTATACGCTGTGTTATACACTTAATTTATACCTTTTATAGTTCTTTCCTTCTGCCATGCTCTTTTTTTTCTTGAAATTATATTGTACTTTGTGTTTTATTGCAAAACCTTAAACCATAGGTACTATGTTTTATTCACCTAATATTTTCTACAGTGCCTTGTGCATAATAGATGCTCAGTATACTAACTGAATTATATATAAAACTAGGAGTCTAGCACATGACTCGAAATCGCACAGCACCACCACCCTCATATCATCAGTCCGGCCTGCCTCCGGGCCCCACAACAGCCACAGCCACTGCCTATCCAGCCCTGCCTCCCTCTCCGGCCCTTGAAGCAGCTGATGATAACGAGGCCCTCCCCCAGTACAGGCATGTGGAGGCCCCTGCTACTCCACCTCTAACACTGTGCACGCAACCTCCTCCTGTCTGGTTGACCCATTATGGCATCCCGGTTAACAAAACTATATATAGCATTACTATATATATATAATGCTACTTATTCCATTGATTCAAGTTTAGAAAACTAATATATTTCTTTTTTGTTTTCCTGAAATACAGCTGGAGAGGCTTTAAATATCATTCCTGGTCCTCAGGAAAAGAAAACTAACGTCAGTTTAATGTCTCCTGGTAGACGCAAAAGGTAAATGCTTTTTAAAAGGACAAGTTTACATTAGAAATAAAATAACAAGATTGGATTAAGTTTTTGGAACTATTTACTGTTATATCTATTTCAAAACATTTGTTTCACATTGTAACCTCCTTAAATCATGTGGCATCTTATATAATAAAAACCTAATATGCTAAGTGTCCAGTCATTCATTGATAGTCAACTATTCAACCAATCAAAGCATAATATGCTTTCTTTATGGCAAATTTTCTCAACCATATAAAATAGGAAAACAACTATAATAATATCTAACATTTATAGAAACCTTGACCTATTTATAAAGTCATATACTTTATTTTATTCAATTCTTTCATAAACCCAATAATGCAATTGATCTTATCCCATTATAAAGTGAATCAGATATAGCTAATAAGTGGTAATGCTAGACTTCAAGTTCAGGTGTGTATTTTTAATTCAATACTATAATGCTTTACCATTGTACCGCTCTTTGTTTCTACCACAAATTGAGAAAATATTGGTTTTATTGTGATGTACATACAATGTTTGTATGTATAATAATCATTGAATCTGCTAAATCATACTGCTTGAAAGACTCTCTCTTAAAATATGTTTCAGTGAATCGCAAAGGAAAAATACCACTTTGTCTGGACCTCAGTCAACAATATGGAATTTCCAGGATCCAAATGCATTTGCAGTAGAAAAAGTAAGTGACTTTCCCAAACTTTGCAATTTAAGATATTTCTGAGTTTTAAAATACTGATAAATTTACAAAGACTGTGTAATTGAATTGCTTGGGATAGAGAGTAGTGAAGTTTAACAGAAACAACTTCTTTAGAATAGATAGACTTATTCCAATGCACCAAGTAAGAAACAGCTGAATGTTTAAGAAACAATAAATACAATGTTGAATTATGTATCAAAATTGGGCATTTTATTGGAATAAGATTATTAAAAATCTTTATTAAAAACTAGAGTTTTTAACTGTTTTGTAATCACTGCAGAAGGAATTAGTGAAGGATCTTGGAACACTTACAAAGTATAAAATGTAGTATTCAGGTATTAATGTGGAGGGAGCCACCATAACTTCTGATTTTCCACCTAAATTTATTAAAGGTATCCAGCTTCCATTAATTGGTTTGGTTTGGTTTTTTGGTGTGTTTGTTGTTGTTGTTTTTTCATTAATAACGTAATATTCTATCTGTCCTTTTGCTAATACTGACTGACTTTCTTTTCCAGCAACTTGTTATTGAAAATGCACGAGAAAAAATATTAAGCAACAAATCTCTTCAAGAAAAACTTGCAGAGAACATTAATAAGTTTTTGATTAGGTAAGCTTTGTCCGTTTAAAATGCCTAATTGTTTTTGCTTAATTAGGAACAATAGTAAAAATTTTCCTTTCTGGATTGCAGTGACAACAATATTGCTCAAGCACCTAAGCAAACAGATAGCAACCCTACTGAACCAGAAACTTCAATTGATGAACTCCTAGGACTTCAGGTATGGGTAAGGGTGGCTGTATATACAGTACATTTATTCATAGTTAAAAACTATGCTATTTTGGCACAGTGGCTAGAGCATCGGCCTAGGTTTGATTCTGGTCAAGGGCACATGCCTGGTTGTGGGCTCAATCCTCAATAGGGGCCATGCAGGAGGCAGCCAATCAATGATTTTTATCATTGATGTTTCTAACTCCCTCTCCTTCTCTCTGAAATCAGTAAAAAATTATATATAGATATAGATATAGATATATAAATGATATTTTGGTTTCATTTCAAAACCATTGCCAAGAAATTAGGTATATAGTTATTTAAAATAATTAAGATATAGATTTTCTTTTTTTTTAAATATATTTTATTGATTTTTAACAGAGAGAAAGGGAGAGAGATAGAGAGCTAGTAACGTCAATGAGAGAGAAACATCGACCAGCTGCCTCCTGCACATCCTCCACTGGGGATGTGCCCGCAACCAACGTACATGCCCTTGACCGGAATCGAACCCGGGACCTTTCAGTCCGCAGACCGACGCTCTACCACTGAGCCAAACCGGCTTCAGCGATTTTCTTTATTATCTGAATGTAATCTGTTCCTAAAAATTTGTTAGTGACCCTAGCCGATTTGGCTCAGTGAATAGAGCTATGGCCTGCAGATTCCAGTCAAGGTCCCAGGTTCGATTCCAGTCAAGGGCATGAACCTTGGTTGCCGGCATATCCCCTGTAGAGGGGGTGTGCAGGAGGCAGCTGAATGATGTTTCTCTCTCATCCATGTTTCTAACTCTCCCTCTCTCTTCCTCTCTTTAAAAAATCAATAAAATATATATATATATATTTTTAATTTGTTAGTGAATTTTCTGATAACCATTCAAAATTGCATTATAGTTAGTCATTTGCCACATAATATTTTGATTGGACCGCATATACGAAGATGAGTCCATAACAAGATTACTAGTGGAATTGAATTTTCTGTAAGAAATGGGAAGATATGTGATTCAGGAGAAATTTTTATTCTTACAGAAGCAGTGTCTATGGAATGTGGCAATCTGTAGATTCCTTCTCACTCACAACACCTCAGTTTTTAGTGCACAGGTTACATCCCAGTCAGTCAGCTACTGACCTGTTTCAGTACAGAGGAACCTGTCCTCAGTGCTACATATGTGGAGGGCACTACAGCCCTCCCAGATCTACCCAGAGGACATTGTTGTAAGTTGTTTGTTGAGGACCTATGGCCCCGTATAAGGACACAGGAGCAAATAGATAGCAACTATTGAGTGCCACTATATTTTTATATGTAAGTCCACAGGAGCTACCTTAGCAGCTATTGAGTGCCACTGCCACTTTAATAAAAGCTTTCTGTGATAGTTTGGAGACAGCCTGGCCCTGTACTTTGGGAATATTTTCAGGTTGAAATGCTGTAAAGCATAGAAAATTTTTTATTTCTTTCATCAGTTTAATGCCTGAGAGAGACCTTTTTGCCAGTGGAATGAAAAACAAATTCCAAAGTCAAAATCTTGAGTCTTTAGTACTATACCATGTTCATGTTAAACACCCTCATTTTTCAAAAATTTTTTTATTGATTTCAAAGAGGAAAGAAGAGAAAGATAGAAACATCAATGATGAGAGAGAGTCATTGATTACCTGCCTCCTGCACAACCCACACTGATGATCCAGCCCACAACCCAGGCATGTGCCCCAACCAGGAATTGAAATGTGATCTCCTGGTTCATAGGTTGACTCACAACTACTGAGCCATGCCGGCTGGGGCACACCCTCACTTTTTTATGGTTACCACAAAGTTCCTTAATCTTACCACTAGTCCAAAGTGCAATAGCCCAAACCACATCATCCTGACTATCCCCTATGTTCCTGTATTTTGCCATCTTGATATCTGTCTATTCCTACTGATTCTCAGGCCACCTATCACTTTTAGAGTGATTTCTGCCTTACCCAGCTATATTTCCAATTAGTCTAGCCCACAGCCCTGTTCATAGAGCAGCATTGGCAGCTTCAATGTTCTGTTGCTTATCCTGTTGGGAGGAAGCATGAGAAAGGCTTGTGGGACAATATGTATAAAGTCTGTAGTAGTGTAAAGAATGTATTAGGCCTTCACATTCACTCACTGATTATCCAGAGCAATTTCCAGTGTTTTAAGCTCTATTCATACTGAGTGGTATCTATAGGTATACTATTTTTAACCTCTAGGCCATATGTTTACAGGACCTTTTCTAAGTTTAGATACATTTAGGTACTTGTGTGTTTGTGTTAAAATTGCCTGCAGCATTCAGTATAATAGCATGCTATACAGACTTGTAGCCTAGGAGCAATAAGCTATAACATATATCCAGTAGTCTTACATCTTCTCAATTTGATTTCAGGCAGGTCTGAATGATAGCTGTTGTGTATTTACGTTTTAATTTTGATTGTGGGTGGCAGCAAGTGCCAGTATATGATGTTCACACAATGACAAAATCCACTAATGATGCATTTCTCAGACCATATCCCACTGTTATATTTTTTCCAGTTTTTTTGAAAAAATAATTGACATACATTACTATATAAATTTAAGGCATATAGCATGATGATTTGACGTACATATATTAAAATTTTTTATTTAAATGGTAAAAGTAATAAAAACCCCTAGAATAACTTTAATCAACTCTTCCAGATATCAGTAAAGCACTTCCTGTGTTCATGCAACGATTAGTCATGTATTTCTAAGTATTTAATACTCAAAGATTCATTAGTGGGTATGTTTGTGTGCAATAAGCAGCAGTGATGTGCTGTGTGTAATAAGTTAATTTTCTCTGCAATGCTGTAAACTATAAAAAATTTTTAAAAGATAAAATGGATTCAAGTGATATTTAACAAAAGTATAATGAGCAGTTACTAACTAAATGAGTAATTTTGTGAGACTGCTAAGAAAAGGAAATGGGGATAATAGTCACTTGCTATTCAGTGAAGGTGAAAGTGAGTAATTTAACAGTATATATTTCAACATTTCGTCCATGAGAAAATAGCCTTTTTGAAAAGCAGCACATCCTTTTTCTTGAACTGATGGGCAGTCTAATCATGTTTGTTGCCATGCCCACAAAATGAATTAATTAAATTCTTTATAGTAGGTTTTCTTTCAGGTGATAAATTCTGGTAAAAACCATTGAATTTTTTTTCTTTTTGTCGGTTCCTTCAAAATAATTTTTTTTTAACATATGTAACAATACATCTCCTATATTCTCCCATGGTGAAATTCAGTAAATTTAACAAAATAGAATAAGCTTTTATAAAGCAACCATTACATTACCTATCATTACTGCTTTTTGTCGCTGCTTCTATCTTAATGTTTAACAAATACATGTATATTCTAAATTTTTATAATCAAAGTCCTTCCTTATATTTTCTCCATAAACATCTAAAATCAGGTGGTTACTTTACTGTAATCAAGGCACCCTGTTAGATACTAGGAGAGGTTATATTAAAGTGATGATATAACCTTCTGCTATAGGTTGTTTGTAATGTTGCGCAGTATCTGTCAAAAGTTAAATATCCAGGCTTAGATAGCTTTTTAAAAGAACTGCAAGATGCTCTCACTGGTTTGTCTCAATGGATAGAGTGTCAGCCTTCTGTCAAGGACATGCCCAGGTTATGGGCAGGAGTTGTGCAGGATGCAGCCTATCAGTGATTCTCTGTCATCATTGATGTTTCTATTTCTCTCCCTCTCTCTGAAATCAATAAAAAATTTTAAAAATAATAATAAATAAAAGAATAGCAAGACATAATATCCAACTGAATAGTATATACATCAAATTCACTAAGGCATGAATAGCCAGTTATGCAAATAGGTGAAGTAGGAACTTTAAAAATATTTACAAGACCTGGAGGTAGCAAGATATCTTAGGCTATACAAATAATAAATTTTTACTTATTTTAATCTATATAAGATGGTAATTGTTAACTTATTGTGGAATCATTTTACATTGTATGTAATAGGTCAAGTAATTATGCTGTACACTTTAAACTTACACAGTACTAGTGGCCCAGTGCAGGAAATTCATGCACATTAAAAAGAAATATTTTATTTTATTTTTTTATATTGATTTTTTACAGAGAGAAGGGAGAGGGATAGAGAGTTAGAAACATCAATCAGCTGCCTCCTGCACAACTCCTACTGGGGATGTGCCCACAACCAAGGTGCATGCCTTGACCAGAATTGAACCTAGGACCGACCTTTCAGTCCGCAGGCCAACGCTCTATCCATTGAGCCAAACTGGTTATGGCTAGAGGAAATATTTTGATATTGCTATTTGCCCTTTCTCTATAATAGAAGTGCTAGAGATGAAAGAAAATTAGTAAAATGTATATGAAAGTCTCCCTGCTATCAGAGTCTGGGGCAGACTGCCAAACCCAGAGTCAAGCCCCCGCCCATCCACATGTGCCTCCAAATCCAGTGAGACCCAGACCTGGCTGGCCCCACCCTTGTCAAGCCCCGCAAGGCAAGGGGCGCAGCCTCAGGTCCCCTGGGGGGGGCACGCACAGCCTCAGGTCCCCTGGGGCAGGAGAGATGTAGCTTCAGCTTCCCTGGCGTTAGGGCATGATGACTATTTGCATATTAGCTCTACATTACATAGGATTACATGTCAAGTTATAGCTTGATTTTATTTTGTATTTATATATGTGTATAGTTCCTGTTTATTTAATGTTTGAGGATATCTTATTTTACTAGTATTAAACCATATTAATTCAATGAGGATTTGTTTTTTGTTTTTGGTAGAGTGAAATCCATATGTCTGAAGAAGCTATACAAGATATACTGGAACAGACAGAATCAGATCCAGCATTTCAGGCACTTTTTGATCTCTTTGACTATGGTAAGAAGAACATTTCTTTCAAGGCAGTTAGAAGAAAAAAATTTCTCCGTTTCTTTGGAAACTTAACCAAAGTGAAGCAACATTCCCCAGAGCATCTGAAAAAAGTTCCTATTTTCATTAAACATTATACGGATATGAAAGAAGTTTTTGTTTTGTTTTTCTTTAAAAAAAAAAAAAAAAAAAAAAAAAAAAAAAAAAACCTTAGCTAAGTTGTAAAAATGCAGAACAATTTTTTTAAAATTTTGGGGTTTTTTGTGGGCATTTTTGCCAGGCAGCACAAATGTATAGAAGTCTGCTACTATACATACATTATACCAAACACAGTTGGATAATACAAAAGGAATACAAAAAGTTGGCTATATCCCTCAACCTTATGGCATAGTGCAGTAATTCTGTTTAGTCTCTCAACCAGCAATATCAGCATTATATGAGAATATGTTAAAAATGCAAAATTTGTGGCCCCCTCTCCCATGTGATTCTAGGCTAAAGTTTAAGAGCTACCTGTCTGGTGGAAGAATCTTTGTACTTGTCAGTTATATATAAAGCACTAGATTAAAAATATCCAAAATACCATAATTAAAACCAGTGTCTAACATTTGCTTGACCACTGTCAAGCTTCATTAATTGATGCTTATTTTTATTTTAGTTATGTAACCGATTGTTTCCCTGTTCCCTTTTTAACAGGTAAAACAAAGAATAATAAAAATTTATCACAAGGCATTTCCAGTCAGCATATGGAAACCAATCCCAATATAGTCTTAGCAGATGAAACTAATCTAACAGTTAAAGGTTCTTTTAATACAGAAGAATCTGGTAAGAATTTGACTTTGTTAATATCATCAATCCAAACCCTATATCTCAGTCTCAAAATTTCAAAAGCAAAAACCCTTGTCTAATTTGGAAGTTCAAATTACCATATAGGTCATTTTTGTATTTCTAGTATTCTCTCTTCGTTAGAAAAAATATAAAAAGAAAATTACTCCCCAGATTTTAGTACTTTGATTAAAATATGAATTTTTAGTACTCTCCCATGATACAATAGATTCTTGATATGCACAAATTGATATTAATGGTGTTGATGTATTCAACAAAAATCTATAACATTTGATACAATTATTTGAGCCATAAATTCACATCTCTAATATATAAGGTTGGTATAAGCAAATTTAGCTGACTGTTCAGTATCTACAGTATACCTCACTTATTTAGAGGAAATTATATGTTGTTTAGGATTTTATGAGGTTTGAGGTAATATTTCTCTGTGTTTATAACTCAATTCTTTGTATGTATTTCTGCCTCCCATGGAGTACCAATATGACACATAATTGCCCCACAGTAACTTCTTATTAAATGAGGGAAGATAGTGAATATCTTCATTTTAAATATTTTACATATTTGCCAGTTTTCTTCAAATTGTAGTTTGGTGAAATACAACACATGAACAGAACTGCACAGTAAAAAATGTATATAGCTCATTGAATTACAATCCAGCAAATACCATATAACCATCTCTCAAATCAAAAATAAAACACCACAGCACCACCAAAACCTCTCTTCATGTTGCTTCCCAATCAATATACTTTCCATCCCTGTTCCTGAAAGATAACCATTACCCTGGTTTCTCTCACATTATCCTGGCATCTCATATTTCTTACTAACCTCTTAGTACCACATGTATTCATTTCTGTTTTCAACAAGCTATGCCAAAGTAATCATTTCTGCTCATATGTTCTTAAATGTTATTATCCCTAAAAACCCTGATGGTTTCCTAGTTTTGCATCATGTCTTATAAAAATTAATTTTGGAGAATCTCAAACTACATTTCTTCTTTGAGTCCTCTGCTATACCCAAGTCCAATCCTCTATTTCTTCTTTGCCTGAATTATGTTGGTATGTGAAACAACATGCTTCAATTAAGCTCTGCCATGCACAAAATGAGGTTTGAAATTTATTTTCTCAGGTGGTCTTCCTGCTTCATTGAAACTTGACTAGTGAATTTATTTGGCCTGACTAGAATCTCCACTAATTTCCCCACAATAAGGATTCAAATGTTTTCTCTACCAAATATTATTTTACCAATGTGACATTAACAGAATTACATGGTTGTTGATAAACATTTCCTGTATTTTTTTATATTGTTAATTGTTACTGTTTTCTGTCCTAACCTGTGAATACAGTAGGCAGTTTTTCAGTACTGTGCTATTTTATGAAGTATCTTTTCCTCTTATTCCAGCTCTCACACTACATTTTTCAAGATATAATACCTTCTTTGTAACACTTGTTCACATCCCTAGCAAAGAGGTGACTTTTGTTCCTATACTTTACAGTTTTTATCATGTTTTATTACAGTTTCTGTTCTGTATTTGCTTTCCTTACTAGACTGATTTCTCTGTCATCCATCTTCGTTTCCTAGTACCAATTAAATGGTTGATCTTCAATAAATGTGTGTTGAATATCAAACAATATACGATAACATCATATGTTGATCATGCAAAATGTGCTTGGCCCCTTTTCACCTTTAAGAATATATCAGATAAGGTCAATAGAAATAGTAGAACTTAAAAAGTCACCTGTCTTGAAAAAAACTGCGTGTTTGAACCTCTTTTTATATATATGGTAGTAAATATTTGATGTTCTTAAACCTGTATACTTTATCCTTCATTGTGTCTGTCATCTATTTTCCGAGAAAGTTGAAAACAATTTGACACTTGTTTAAAAGGCATGCTCCTATATAATATAGAGGTGATATGCAAATTGACCATCATGCCCTTGCACAAGATGGCCACCCTGGGAGGACCGTTGTGGGCAATCAGGCCAGCAGGGGAGGGCAGTTGGGTCGACCATGCCGAAGGGGAAAACAGTTGGAGGGACCAGGCCTGCAGGGGAGGTCTGTTGTTGGGGACCAGGCCTGCAGGGGAGGGTAGTTGGGGGTGACTGGGCCTACAGGGGAAGGCAGTTAAGGGCAACCAGGCCGGCAGGGGAAGGTCGTTGGAGGTGACTGGGCCAGCAGGGAAGGGCAGTTGGGGGCAAACAGGCTGGCAGGGGAGTGTTTAGGGGGTGATCAGACAGGAAAACAATTGAGCGGTTGAGAGTCAGCAGTCCCGAATTGTGAGAGTGATGTCCAAGGGGTCCCAGATTGAAGAGGGTACAGGCTGGGCTGAGGGACACACACACACACCAGTGCATGAATTTTGAGTACCAGGCCTCTAGTCTATAATAAGAAAAGTACCTTTTAGTACTTTTGATACATCAGACTTCTGCTTACTGGTATGTCAATGATTGGTAACTTTCTTGGCTAAATAGGTTTTATGTAAAGATGACTACCTCAAAAGCTATACATTCTCACCATATCTTTCTACTATGCTAATATTTTGCAGATGATCAATCTGGTCAACCCCCACTTTGTACATCTTATCAAAATGAAGACGCATCAAATGCTTTAAAGAATGGCAGCAACCATGATGAGCTTAGACAAGAAACCCAGGGACATTTTTCCCAGATAGGTTCCAACATCCAGAAAAAAACCTTCAAAACAGGTGTACCTACTGAACACAAGTGTAACCTTGATATTACCTATGAGTCTGTGCCTAATTTAAATGACTTTAACCAAAGAGTAAATTCTGATGCCAAATGTAATCAGAATTGTGGTGAATTACACACCAATCAGATGTTCATTGAATCTGACATGGTTATGGAAGTTGAGAAGAACTCTTTGTCTCCAAATGTGCCGAATGAATCTCGATTACAAGTAGATCAGCCTGATACACCACTAACTTCATTTGTAACTGAAAACTTAACTCTCTCTGGAAAAAGTTCTCAACTTTTATCCCAAAATATATCATTAACTGGAAAGCCATCTAAAAACAGCCAATTTTGTGAAAATTCTAATGATATAGGAAGACCGAAAACTAATTTGCCTGGTTCCAAAACACCAGAGTCTAGAGAAACTCATCAGAGTAAAATTGAAATTGATGGTGTATTACCAGTGACATCACAACTTTCAGAGTGCCAAGATAATTCTTCACATCAAAGTATATCTGTGTCTGTTGAAAGTTCAGTTTTAAATGTATCTGAACAAGGAGAAATTGGTCTTGGAGATTCAATATCTTCAATTAAACAACCATCTAATGATTCATCATGTATTGAGTTAGATCATACAGGACATGAAAATCAGCCCTCCAGGTCTGATAAAGTTGCTTTGGATTCACAACCTTCATCTTCTGCAAAAGAAGATGGAAATAGTGTTTTTCTCTCATTAGGTGAAAATGAAAACTGTGGGGAAATTGCATTGATGCCTCCAGAAGGTAATCTTGTAGAAGAAAGACATTCTCTTCCTGCAGAACCTGTGAGTTCTTCAGTAGTAGAGTCTCACCCTGAGTCCCAAAATACTAGTGATAAACCTGCTAGGAACAACTCAACAGAGATAGATGCATCAAATATTGTCTCTCTCAAAATTATCATTAGTGATGATTCCTTTGTTTCCTCAGAGACTGAACTTAACACTGCTGTTTCTAGTATCAGTGGAGAAAATGTGCCAACTATAATTTTGTCTTCTGCTAAATCACCTGCCAAAAGTGCAGAATTAGTTAAATGCCTGTCTTCAGAAGAAACTGTAGGTGCTATCACATCTCCTGAAGGAACAGGGAATTCAGCCTCAATGGAACAGAGCCTTTTAGTGCTTAAACCTGAAGACTCTGCAGTAAACAACACTCGGAGTGAAGACCGCATTGCTTTTTCAGCCAATGTTACATCATGTGCTTCCAAGGATGGGGGATTTATACAGTTGATGCCAGCTACAAGCACAACTTTCGGCAGTTCAAATAACATTCTGATAGCTACCTGCGTGACTGATCCATCAACCTTGGGAACAACTGTAAGTCAGTCGAGTGTTGTGGTGTTGCCTGGAAATTCTGCACCTATGACTGCCCAACCTTCACCGTCCCAATTACAGACACCACCAAGGTCAAACAGTGTATTTGCTGTCAACCAAGCTGTGTCACCCAGCTTTTCACAAGGTAACTTTAAGAACATTCTGAAGTGGAGTAGGATCTAATTTCTCTTGTGTATATAGTTATTGACTAAGCGATAATAAATAGGTAGTATGAGAAAAGATTCTGAAGTGTGTAATCCTCTTTAGCTAATTAATTCAAACTTTTTTTATCTGCTAAGCTATGGAATGTAGTGATTTACAGTTGTTCCTTTTTTTTTTTTTTAACTACTTCCCAATCCATGTGCTAAACTACAAAAGAGAAAAGAAAGATTAATTTATCAAATAGCTATATATCTACTAAAACCCATTGTTCTGAATTTTTTAAAAATAGATCTATTCTTAATTTTCAAGGAATTTTTAAAAATATATTTTATTGATTTTTTATAGAGGGAGAGGGAGAGAGAGTTAGAAGCATTGATGATAGAGAAACACCAATCAGCTGCCTCCTGCACACCTCCTACTGGGGATATGCCCGTAACCAAGGTACATACCCTTGACTGGAATCGAACCCAGGACCCTTCAGTCCGCAGGCTAAGGCTCTATCCACTGAGCCAAACCAGCCAGGGAATTTTTAAGGAATTTATTATCTATTTGGAAAAACTTGAAGACACAACCTGAATTTCTCCCTCCATAAAATCCTTTGTAATTTCTCATTGTCTTTCACCTTACAGAATTGTTCCCTATCTTTAGACTTATTTGTTTATAGAAAACTTACGGCTAATTTCTCTGTAGTTGGTCATATTATTTTTTTTTATGTATGTTTCTTGAAGGTAGAGCTTATGACACATTCATCTACATTTCCTTAATTGGTTCCAATTCCCCTCCCCCCTTTTACATTTGTAGGCATACAGAAACATTTGATTAAATACCAACAATTAAAGTACCAAGCCTAATGGCTTGGTATTAAGTGCTATTTAAAATAAAATAAAGATAATGTGGAACTTGAGATGAAACTTAGAAAAGTAAGATAATATTTGGAATAAAAGGAAGAAAGGAATCTTAAGTAGCACACGTGTAGGTAGATATTTGAGTTGCTGAAATGGTATTCATGAAAATGAGATCATCCTGAGGAACAGTTAGTGAATGTGTATAAGGAAAAGATTCATTTACAGGGCAGGGCTAAATTATGATAGCCACAGGCTCTATTGTTGACATCTAAGGACCATGTAAGCATTGTCTTTCATCATCCCAATTACAGACCTTGGAACTTTTTTGACCAATACCATTGGGGTTGTGAGCAAGTATTGGGCTATTAATATTCAGTTGAAACCCTAATAATCTAAGATTCAGACTTTCACCACCAATTTTCTAATCAGTTTTACTATTTCTAGAGGAATCAAGATATAAATATATAGCCACCCGCCACTGCCCCTGACCACTTCTCTGTTGGCTGGTGCATTCCAGTGGTGAGCTAAAACTAAACCCCAGCTTAGGAAACAGGGTTATTCTTCATGTGGATGACTCTGTGCCGAAAGCATGGGAACAACAAGGAAATGGCTGAAAGAAGAAAAAACAAATATAACAGGATATCTTGCTGTAAAGTCTTACGCTTGCTTATGATATCTCAAGTTCCACCTTGACTAAATGCCATCACTACTTTTAATATTCAAATTCATTTTTTTAATACATTTTTTTACTGATTTTTTTTTTTTTTTTTTTTTTTAACAGAGAGGAAGGGAGAGGGAGAGTTAGAAACATTGATTGGAGAAAAACATCAATCAGCTGCCTCTGGCATACCTCCTACTGGGATGTGCCTACAACCAAGGTACATGCCCTTGACCGGAATCGAACCTGGGACCTTTAAGTCCTCAGGCCGATGGTCTATCCACCTACCCAAACCATTTAGGGCAACTTTTTCTTACTTTATTCCTAAATTAATTTCATAAAAAGAAAAGACAATTGTAAGGAAGGGGGATTATAATTTTAGAGAGTTTGTTTCAAATTAGTAATCATTTTGGTGTCTTACGTTCATTCATGAGACAGATCTTATTTTATTAAATTTTGTTGTTGTTTGTTAGGATCTGCCATCATAATTGCTTCTCCAGTCCAGCCTGTACTCCAAGGAATGGTAGGAATGATACCTGTATCTGTGGTTGGTCAAAATGCAAATTCATTTTCTGCTCCTCCTCAGCAGGTAAGATTTATGAACAAAAAGTGGTGTGTTGCTGTTTTTTCAAACGTAGTTTATAACTAATGGCTTCTTTTATAGGTCCTTCATATGCCTTTGGCAGCACCTGTATGCAGTAGAAGTATCCCTCAATTCCCTGTGCCTCCAAAGTCTCAGAAAACTCAGGGACTAAGAAATAAGCCTTGTACAGGTACATTTTTAAGTTCATTAATGTCAGTTTTATGTTTACATATTCATTTGTTTGCAACAATACCACAGTATTTTCTTTTTGAGTACTTAATACATTCCTAACAGGTGATCGTCCAATCTTTGCTTAAAGTTTTTACAACAATTTAAACAAAAAGATAAATGGAACAAACTAGAATTTAAAACACAATACATACTTATAGGAACTTGTATGTGGTGAACGTAACAAAAGAAGTCAGAACAGGATGGATTGTTTAATAAATGAAGTTTATTGGCTATTATATATATTACAGGAAAAAATTGGAACCCTTCCTTATATCTTATACAAAGGTGAAACCCAAGATGATTAAAGACCTAAAAGTGAAAAGCAAAACAATTAAGCATAAAAGAAAATGTAAGAGAATATCTTAATGATGCTGGGATAAATGAATTTTTTTAAAATGGAAAAATATATAATTTATAAATGGAAACGTGTGATGGTGCTGATTACAAAATTATAACTTTTTCAACAAAAAATACCATTTACAAAGTAACAACCAGAGTTTCATCTGGGGCCATGATGAATATTGCACCTAGTTCTTAGACTTCTGTACCTAAAACTAATTTTCTTTCTTTCTTTCTTTCTTTCTTTCTTTCTTTTTTTAATATATTTTATTGATTTTTTTACAGAGAGGAAGGGAGAGGGATAGAAATCTAAAAACATCAATGAGAGAGAAACATCGACCAGCTGCCTCCTGCACACCCCCTACTGAGGATGTGCCTGCAACCAAGGTACATGCCCTTCACCGGAATCGAACCTGGGACCCTTGAGTCCTCAGGCTGACGTTCTATCCATTGAGCCAAACTGGTTTCAGCTGTACGTAAAACTTTCCCATCTTTATGATAACAATATGCCCATGTAGGTAACCTGCCAAACAACCTAACCCTCAGAATTCTGAATTTTTCCATGCTTAAGTCTTCAATCATCCTTTCCCATAGCTTCATCTTTAATTTTTCACTAATTTTTAAAGGCCAATAACTTCTCTCATTTCCATATATCCACTGATTCTCTTTTCCACTATTGATAGCTCCTAGTGTTTGAATCCTCACCTTTTACCTGAACACTCAGTTCCATTCTAGTTTTTCTTCTTCACTATTCAGATTAGACCCTACCACATCAATCATTTTTCTCAGTACAATTAAAAACCTTCATATCTACATTCTTCTACCATACCTGCTTGGTACCCCCAGCCCTGGATCTAACCAAGTTCACATCGGGGCTTCTGAGCTTTGCTTTAGAAGTGGCACTGGGCCCCTTAATGCCATTTATTATCCTCACTTATCAGTAAACTCCATTTTAATATGTATTTGTTCTACTTCCAAAATCATTTTTCCTTCCTTAGAGGAATAATTTTCTCCTTTATAAGGTTAATACAATCTACTTATGCTCTAGATTATCTCTATATATAAAAGCCTAATATACAAAGTGTCCCCACGGGAGTTCGACCTACTGGGAGTTCAGCTGCTCACTATGATGTGCGCTGACCACCAGGGGGTGGCACGGAACAAAGTAAGGCCCCAGCCAGCAGTCAGCTAGGGACCCTACGCATGCACAGATTTCATGCACTGGGCCTCTAGTCTTCTGTGTATCTTGAACTTTTTTTTTTCTTTTTTTTTTTTTGAACTTTTCTTTTTGGGATCCTTCCCTCTCTGGCTTTAAAGTTCCTTATGTTTGTCCAATCTGCCAACCCTTTATCCTCAATCCCTCTTATCCCTCAGTGTTTGTTGTTTTTTTTTTTTTATCCATGTTATTGTCTTTTCTCATATTGCCACTCAAACTATTTAAAATGAGGTCACCATGACTTAATATTGGTATATATTTTGGACATTTTCCATTCTTCACTTCCAACTATTGATGGCTTCTGGAAACACCACTATACGATGCTCTTCCCTCTCTAGCCTACTTTTCCTTCTTTGGTTAATATCACCATTGATTGTTCCTTTATTCTCCTTACCTATGTAATTCCCTTTACTGACTCTTAAGACCCTCATTGTCTCTTACCTAGAATATTTAGAGCCACTTATAATAATGAAAGTGTAATATCCAAATCAACGGAATGGCTAAACAGTGGAAAGACCGTCTGGATGAAGCTGGTGCTGCAAGAGCCAAGGCATCTGGGGCTACAAAGGCCTACTCTTGCACGAATTTCATGCATCAGGCCTCTAGTCTAATTATATCTAGAATTCCTATTTCTAGTTATAAAGTTATAAATTCCTATTTCTTCTTTAGTTCATTTTCTTTACCACTGCCAGAGTGACTCTAAAACATAAATCTATTCATGAATATTTTTCTATTTAAAAGCTCATAAGGTTTCTCTGTGAAACCTTTTGCATAATAAATAAGGTCCTTGCTTGGCCAGTATTGGCTCAGTTGGTTGGGTGCCCTCCTGTACCCCTAAAGGTTCCTGGTTCGATTTAAGGTCAGGGCACATAAAGTGTGTTCCACTTCTGATCAGGGTGCATGCAAGAGACAACCGATGGATGATTTTTTTCTCATTGAGATCTATCTCTCTCCCTTCCCTCTCTCCCTTTCTATTCCCATCTCTCTCTCTCTCTCAAATCAATAAAAACATTAAAAAAATTTTTTTTTAAATAAATAAGGCCCTTCATGGTCTCATCTCTGCTTTTCCTTCTAACTTCATGCCTTGCTGCTTTCACATAAACTCCATGGTAATCAAATATGATTATTAAACCTACATGTGCTGTAGGTGACAGGCTTACAAACATGACAATTATATGGGTACATTTTTAAAATAAGCAAAGCATACTCCTTTCTTTAACTGTCTTTCTAGATCTACGTAGTACTCTTTTTTTTTTTTCTTTTTTCTTTTTCATTCTTATCCTCGGCTATTTTTTCATTGATTTTTAGAGAGAGTGGAAAAGAGAGGAAAAGACAGAGAGAAATATCGATGTGAGAGAAACACATCAATTGGTTGCCTTCTGCACGAACCCCAACCAGGGCACAGGCCAGGGAGAAGCTTGCAACCAAGGTATGTGCCCTTGACAGGAATCAAACCCGGGACTCTTCAGTCAGCAAGCCAACATTCTATCCACTGAGCCAAAAGCTAGGGTTAAGTAGTACTATTAAGTGGACGTTGTAATTCATAAACCCAAAAACAGATTCATAATACTTGCTTGAAGTTGAAGTAAGGCATTTATTTGCTCTAAAATAAATGAGCGACCATATTATATATATATTACAAACCTGCTTTTAAACTTAATATGTGAAAGTTTTCATTTATGCATTAACTTCCATTTGAATTTTTGTCTCATTATGTGTGACACAGTGTGATCTGTTTCATTTTCTTTCAGGGGAATATACTTTTTCTCTCAGGAATGTTTTTCTTTTCTAATTAACTCATTTATAATTCCAGGAAAGCAGGTAAATAATTTGGTGGATTCATCAAGTCATTTAGTTGGGTGTCATGCACAAAGGTGAGCATAAAAGTAGTTTCTATCAGATTACTTGAATGCACAGATTTAAAAGGTGAAAGATTTCTTTATAAATTGCTAGAGGTAACTTTTTTCTTTTTTTTAAGAATTGAAGTTTCTGAGAAGAATATGACAACAGATCGTGGGAAAAAACTCGAAGAAATCACAGTTCCCTTCTCAGTAGAGAATATAGTTCCAACTAGCAAACCACTGGAAAGCCATAGGCGTGTGCTCTGTTTTGATAGCACTGCTCCCGTGGCAGATACACAGGGGACAAACCATAAGATGGCGTCCCAGAGCAAAGAAAAGAATGATATTTCATTTTGTAATCTTGGCTCACCCATAATGTCCTCTACCTTAAAACCCTCTTCTAATAATGCTCTCAAAAGGGAGAGAGAGAAACTTCCTGTGCCTAAGATTTTATCTAAATCAGAAACTGCCATTGGCAGACATACCGTAAAAGAAGCTCAGTCAGAAAAGAAAGTTTCATCAACAGAAACTGGACTTGAATCTTTCCATAAAGCAACAGCTAATAAGGAGAATGAATTATGCAGTGATGTGGAAAAACAGAAAAATCCAGAAATTTTAAAACTATCTAATGGGCAGCAAAATGGAGGTTTACGAAATGAGAAGACTATATCCTCACTGCAAGAACTAACCAAAAAACAAGGCACATCCTCAAACGGTAAAAATGTCATTTCCATGGGTGCAGCTGTGAAGGATCTAAAACAGGAACAAACCAAATCTGCCAGCTCTTTGATTAACCCACTAAACAAACATACCACAGAAATGTTACAGGATGCTCAGCGTCATAGCCCAGTAAACAGGCTCGTAGACAGTGCTCATCTATCTGTGCCCCGGACACCTGGCTCAGGGGCAGGGGAAAAACATAAAGAAGAACCTACCGATGGTATCAAGATCCCCTCTAGCAGGCGTCTCATTGAAGACGGTAGCACACCCAAAATAATGGTCCCTCCTGTCACCCCTGACCTGCCGGCCTGCAGCCCTGCCAGTGAAGCAGGGAGTGAAAACAGTGTGAACATGGCTGCACACACATTAATGATTCTCTCCAGAGCAGCTATCTCTAGGACTACTTCAGCAACTCCTCTAAAGGACAATACACAACAATTTAGAACATCTGCAAGAAACACCACAAAAAAGCGGAAAATTGAGGAATTAGATGAGCGTGAGCGAAACTCCCGTACTTCTAATAAAAATCTTTCAAATTCATCAGTACCAATGAAAAAGAAGAGAATCAAGGCAAGTTTGAAAGTCTTAATTTCAAAATTATACCTTTGCCCGTTGTTCAGTGCTCAGATTAGAGAGCTCATCATCTTTTACCATAGCTACTTTACTGAACATTGCTCAAAACAGCTTTGAGTGTAATTGACAAAACATATTGTTACAGGATAGCAGTGTCTCTCAGCCAGTATGATACTCATAAGTTGTCTAGGTGAAACATAGCATTTCAGAACAATTGCTAAGGCATCTATACTCGTAAAAGGATAATATGCTCATTAAACTGGACATCTTCTGGACAAAGCCACAGTGGCAGGGGCCAAGGCAGAGTGTTGGGGGCGATCAGGCCGGCAAGGGAGGGCAGTTAGGGATGATCAGGCTGGCAGGCAGAGGTAATTATAAGGCAATTATGCAGGCAACCAGGTGAGCTGTTAGGAGCCAGCAGTCCTGGATTGCGAGAGAAAATTACAACTGCCAGCAGCCGGACATCCACCAAGGAGTCCTGGTTTGGAAAGAATGCAGGCCGAGCTGAGGGGGAAACCCCTCCCACACACACACACACACACACACTAATATCATGCACCAGGCCTCTAGTCCTACTAATAAAAGAGTAATATGCAAATTGACCATCACTCCAACATAAGATGGCCAGCAGGGGAGGGTAGTTGGGAGGGCCCAGGCCTGCAAAGGAGGGCAGTTATGGGCAATCAGGCCAGTAGAGGAGGGCAGTTGGGGGCAATCAAGCCTTCAGGGGAGAGTAGTTAGGGGCAAACAGGCTGGCAGGGGAGCAATTAGGCATCAATCATGCTGGCAGGGGAGTGGCTAGGGGGTGACCAGGCTGGCTGACAGAAGTGGTTAGGGACAATCAGAAAGGTAGACAGGCAAGCAGTTGGGATCCAGCAGTCCTGAATTGTGAGAGGGATCCCAGATTTGAGAGGGTGCAGGCTGGGCTGAGGGACACACACCCCCATGCACGAATTTTGTGCATTGGGCCTCTAGTTTGTTTATAAGCATTTTCCTTAGGAAAAAGGATTTTTTGTTTGTATCATGGTATAATGAATTTTTGAGGGGTGGGGGTTGATGTAAGGTATGAAAAATTGGTAAGCTACTGTTGTGTGTGGAATTACCAAGTAAAAACTACTTAATTCCTACATCTTCATCTTTTTCTTTTTTTTCCCCCATGTCCTGTCATGTTTTCATGGGCTCTTATAGACGTTAATTTGTGGAGCAGTGTAAAAACTAAACTTACCTGTTTTTTCCTTAACTATGGAAAGAAATGCAGTGCAGGGATGAAACATTTCTTTCTTTTTTTCCATATATTTTTTGTTATTGATAGTTTTACTGATAGTTCCCATTTTTGCCTCCCCCTCTCCTTCCTCCAAGCCCCTACTCACCCCTTCAGGTCTTCATTTCCTTATTACTCATGTCCATGGGCTATGCATATCCTATATAATAATCCTATATAATAAAGAGGTGATATGCAAATTAACTGTTGCTCCAACACACAAGATGGCCAGCAGGGGAGGGCAGTTGGAAGGGACCAGGCTGGCAAGGGAGGGCAGTTAGGGGTGACTGGGCCAGCAGAGGAGGGCAGTTAAGGGCAATCGGGTTGGCAGGGTAGAGCAATTAGGGGCAACCAGTCTGGCAGCGGAGGGAAGTTAGTGGTGACTGGGCCAACAGGGAAGGGCAGTTGGGGGCGACCAGGCCTGCAGGGGAGGACAATTAGGTGCAACCAAATTAGCAGAGGAGGGCAGTTAGGGTTGACAGGGCCAGCAGGAGAGGACAATTAGGTGCGACCAGATCAGCAGAGGAGGGTAGTTGGGGGCGGTCAGGCCAGCAAGGGAGCAGTTAGGAGTCATTCAGGCTGGAAAGGGAGTGGTTAAGGGGTGATCAGGCTGGCAGGCAGAGCAGTTGGGGCAATCGGATAGGCAGGCAGTAGGACAGGGCAGTTGGACATCCCTTATGGGGTCCCAGTTGAAGAGAGTGCAGGCTGAGCTGAGGAACTCACAAACATACCCCCATGCATGAATTTTGTGTACCAGACCCCTAATAAGTATAAGTTCTTTGGTTTCTGATCTGTTTACCCATTTAGTAAGTGGATTGAATAGAAAGAAAGGTGTTTAAAATGTATCAGGGAAAGAGTCTAGGGTTTGCTGCCTTCAAACCTAGGTTTGAATCATGCATCTCCTTTTCATTGCTTCTGCGATATGATTAAGTCCATAGCTCCCTGAGTCCCGGGTGCATCATTAACCAAAGGTTACATTACCTTACCTAAATGTAGTGTTTGTAAAGTGCCTGGTAGATATTAAATGTTTAGAATTTGAGAAGTACCTCATAGTATTAAAATCTAAGTCAACCTTCCTAAGGTTTATGATTTGGCAATAATGATCACCTTATGTTGTATCATATTTCATTCAGCAGTTACACTCTGGATTTGTATAATGTCTTTTGCCCTAAACTAATGTTGGAGAACCATTGGAATATTTTATTATTCTCATCCCAGGATATTTTTTCATTCATTTATAGAGAGACTGGAAGAGAGAAGAAAAGACAGATTTTATTATATTTGGCTCTACTTCTCTGTAAAACTAAAATTCTAAATTGAAAAAACTTGTCAAAATTTTTAGTATATGGAAGAACTCGATAAAATGTTCTAAGTGATTTAAGAAAGTTCTGGGGCTTTGTTTGAGTTGAATATGTTAACTTAGGTTTATTTTTCTTTTTTCTGTTTACTTTTTTGTTTTATTTATTTTATTTTTTTATTTTTTTGACAGAAAAAGAAGCTGCCCAGTTCATTTCCAGCTGGAATGGATGTGGACAAATTTTTGTTATCCTTGCATTATGATGAGTAAACATGCTGAACATATAAGAACAATAGCTGTTTAAAACTCGTATCCCTTAAACTGTGAGTGTAGGGAATGAGATATTGACAAAATCTAAAAGCTTGACCTGCACTTTCATTATACTGAAATTTCACTTTATATCTAAATCATGCTGTTTCTGAAGCAGCTTCCTAGCTTGTAAATAGATTTACTTGTTATATTTTTATTTTGGGCGGGGGTGGGGGGGTGGGGGAGGAAATTGCAGATATGTAAGTAAAGCCATTTTGCAAGTCTGTATAGCTTTGACAATTGCATATTGTAAATATTGTGTAAACATTGTTGAAATAGAGGTTAAGTCAACCCAATGTTCTTAACACTGTTTTTTTTTTACTTTTTATGATACCTAATTCTGAGGCTTTTATTTATCTGGAATAGTTTCTCACTGTTGGGGGAGGGGAGATAATGTTTTTCCTTATAAATTGCCTTCAGTAACTATCCAATGAGACATATAAAGACATAGCCACTAAATAGTACAAAAGTGATAACCACCTCCAATGGTAGTAAAGCAATCAAAAATTAAAACAGTTTGGAGGTTTTTCCACAGTGAATACTTTATCACCCCTTCTTATAATTGCAGTAAAGATTATATTCCTGAAATTTATACTTCCTCTGGTCGTTCTGGTCTCTGTTTTAAAGAGAGAATTTTTTTAAACCACATGAGTGTTCTGATCTTTTGTTTATAACTTTCTAAATGTTTTACAGAACTTTAAGTGTTTAGACTATTGAGCCATAAAAGGTTTGGTTGAGATTTCTTGGGATGTATATACTTTCCCCTAAATACTGGGGATTTAAAGAATTGCACTAATTCTTAGAACTCCTTATGTAGTAGTGACCAACGCACACTTAATTTAAGTCTTGTATCCTATTTTAAAGCTTATGTGGAGGATTATCTTCTGATATCCTTTTAGAAAGCCATGCTTATCATAAGGTGTAAGAAGAGAAATCATAGTTTTATATTTTAACGTAGATTCTCCTAAAATGGGCTGTTAAATAACTATATCTATACTCAGATATAGTGCATTGTGTTTGTGCTCCTTAAAAATGTTATAAAGAGTTACTTTCAAAAGGAGAATGAGAGGTGCCTTTCTGTATTAGACTTTCACACTTCAGTAAGTTGATGGATTGATTTAAACATTTAAATGAGAATAGAAATTATAATTAGCACCTGACCAATTGTGCCTAGACATTAAAGTGTGTTCTCTTAAGTGCTTTCTGTTTGGTTAAATATCAGTATATTAAGCTTTTTTTTTTTTTTTTACAGATATATGTACATTTACAGAGTCATTTTCAACCTTTTTTTTTTTTTTTTTTTTTTTTTTTTTTTTTTAATACTGGGCCTTTAAAAAGTGAAATCTATTCTACTCCGAACAACATTTCTCCATGTGGAAATCACAACTTTATTGCTGAATCTCACTGCAGAAATTTATGTTGTAAAAAAGTTTTCTGATGTGGCAATAGTCTATTCCTAAGGAACTAAATATCATACAGTTGATATTTGTGTAACTCAACTTGGTACTGTAATACAGTTAGGTTTGAATAAATATTTTCATTAACTTAAAGTTTGAATTCTTTCATATTGGCAGTCATTCTTATTTAACTATCTTGGTTACTTTCCTTTGCCAGTCGATTCTTGCATGCTTTTTCAGAAGTTTACATAATGCTGAGAATTACAGATTTTCTTTTCATTCAATTAATATGTATTTATATGTGCTAAGCACTAAAAATTCATGTACAAATAAAATAATTTCACTTTGTTCAAGATTCTTAGTTCACTAGCCAGCAGCCACTAGAAATGTCCAGAGGCAGCTTGTATTTAGAGCTTTCATTTATGTTCAAGATCAAAAACATAATCCCTATTTTACCTTCAAAGTCCAAGCATGCTGGACTAAATAGTAGTATTGTTATCTGGTAACCTGTTTTTAACAGTCAAATTCCAGTTATGACATTTTAGGATTAAAGTTTACCACAAAAAAACTTGTAGCTACTTTTACAACTACATGTAAAAATACACTTTTAATTTTGGACATTACTTAGTGGTTGATGTCAGTGTATGCTAAATCTGAAAAATCTTATATTTAAAATTTGTGATTATTTTAACCCTGGATATAGTTGGAACCCTTTAGTATGTTGAAATTGTACATGAGAAAAGCATCCATTAGCATTTATCTAAAGATGTTAGGACTATTAGGGAGACCTGTATTTAATTTTGATTGGAGTAATTTCAAAGGCACATCCTAATAAAGAGGGAATGTGCAAATTGACCACATCATCACAAAGTTGGTAGTGCCCAGTTCTCTCAGCCCCACCGGAGTCCCCCAGTCCTTTCAACCCCACGGCAGGGGGAAAGGGATTGGCAGGCGGATGGTGCAACTGGACCTGCCCTCAGCCACCCAGGGCCACACGAGTCTTTCGCTGCCAGCAGTAGCAGCAGCACATGTGTGATGGGGGTGTCACCTTCCCCTGATTGCCAGGTCGCCTGCTGCCCCTGAAGACTCCCAGACTGTGAGAGGGGCAGGCTGGGCTGAGGGCCCCCCTCCAGTGCTGGGCCTCTAGTTACTATATATTCTGCAGTGATCCATTTCTCAAGTTACTATCTTTCAGCCTCAGGTCTGGCTTCTTGAAATTACCTTATTTATTTAAAAGTAGTGAACATACTTGTACCAGTAAATAAATATTTGTTTCAGTTATCGGTTACTTCCATAGGAGACATTTTAGATAGTGGAATTACCAAATCAAAATGAATGCAGTTTATAGGATCTCAAAACATTTTGCCAAACTCTTCCAGAAAATTAATTTATATTTCTACTAGCAAATTGTCATTTCCTCCATAGGATGCTTATGAAGTATATTCAGCTGTACCATCACTGGTTTCTAAATCCTAAATATCTGATTTATGAAACCCAGCTAACCATAAAGGTATAAAATCAAATTTTGGCCTGTATTAAGTTTATATACATACACTATATACTATGTCATAGAAGTTTTCTGTGATGCTGATTAAATCATAATTTTGTATTCGTTGTGGCTTCTTATTTTTTAAGTATTCACCCCTTTTATGCCTCCTGATTAACTTTAAAATCACCTGTATTATTTCAATTAAATTCTATTGGAATATTTATTTCAGTACCTATAATACCTGGTACTGAAAGAAAATAGTAATGACAATATGGTATCCGATATAATAAAAGGCTAATATGCAAATCAGCCAAACAGTGCGACGACCAGTCGCTGTGATGTGCACTGACCACCAGGGGCAGATGCTCAATGCAGAAGATGCCCCCTGGTGGTCAGTACGCTCCCATAGAGGGAACACTGCTCAGCCAGAAGTTGGGCTCATGGCTGGTGAGCACAGCAGTGGTGGTAGCAGCGCTAAGGATGTCCAACTGCTGGCTTATGGGAAGCGGGCCTAAGCCATCAGTTGGACATCCCCCAAGAGCTTCCCAGACTGCAAGAGGGCATGAATTTAATGACCAGGCCTCTAGTATCTAATAGCTTTAAAGTTATTTATATTCTCATAAATGTCTTGCTTAACTGGATATTTTATTTGTTGCTATTTTTGGGGACTTCTTTATTACATTGTTTTAACTGGTTATTGCTTTTTTAGTTAATGTAAAATTTTTATGGAAGCATATCACAGAACAGGTGCACCAACTAGTAAGTTCAAACAGTTCAATGAATTTTCTAAAAGTGTACACATCCACTTGACCACCAAGATAGGTATGGAACATTTCCAGTACCCTGGTATCCCCTTACACTTCCTTCACATAACTGTTAGCCTCAGGGGTAACTTTTCCTGACTTCTAGCACCATAGTTTCAGCTTTTTTTCTTCTTCTTTAACCATGGATTTCTGCATTATATAATCAATCTTTCATAACTTCTTTTGCTGAACATAGTGAGATGTCATGTGTATAATTCAGTCTTAACCTCAATGCTGTGTACTTTTTCATTGTGTTTATCCACTTTGTATTATACCATGCATAACCCAATTTATAGTTGAACATTTAGGTTATTTCCAGATTGGGGCTATTATGAATAGAACCTCTCTGAATAGTTTTGTACATACTTTTAGTGGAATGTATTATATTTTTCAGTTGGATATATAATTAGAAGAGTTGCTGGGTCCTGGAGTTGATATATTCAACCTTATTTAGATTTTTCATTTTTCCACAGTGGTTGTGCCAAATCATACTATCAACAGTGTAAGGAGAGCTCCAGTTGTTCTATATCATTGTTAATGCTTGATATTATCTTCAACCCATTTTGAAGTATTAGTATCACATGGTAAAGGGCTTTTTTATGCTTTTTTAAAAATTGAATTTATTGGAGTAACATTGGTTAATAAATCCATACTCTATTTCTGCTGTATTTGTTCATTTTGTTTATTAGATTCTGATTGGCTTATTTCACATAGCATAGTACCCTCCAGAATCAATCCATGCTGTTGCAAAAGGTAAGTTTTCCCTTTTTTTTTTTTATGGCTGAGTAGTATACCATTGTGTGAATATATCACAGCTTTTGTATTCACTCATCTATTGATGAGCACTCGGGCTGCTTCCAAATCTTGGCTATCCTAATATATGTAAAAACCCAGGGTCTGTAATGACCAAAAGTTTGAATAAACACCAGAAGTCAGTCCTGCCCTGACTATCACCACTACGGGCACGGTGACTCAGCACTAACTGCCGAGGGGGCTGCAGATCAGGCCCAGAGAGAGAGGAAGGGTCTGATCCACACCCTCCATAGCAGCTTTGATCAGCCCTTGCCTCTCTTTCTCTCTGGGCTTCACCAGCAACCATGCCTCTCTCTGGGCCTCTATGGAGGCTGCTGATCAGCCCTGCCTTTCTGATCAGGCCCAGAGATAGGCCTGGAGACACTGACTGACATAGAAACAAAGCAGTCAGAACCAAATCTGAGTGGAATGTGAGAAGCCAATGGCTGCCTAGGAAGCAGAGCTTTTGATGCTGTCTGG